TTTTTGAGACGGAGTTTCACTCATGTTACCCAGGCTGGAGTGCAATGGCGCGATCTCGGCTCACCGCAACCTCCGCCACCTGGGTTCAGGCAATTCTCCTGCCTCAGCCTCCTGAGTAGCTGGGATTACAGGCACGCACCACCATGCCCAGCTGATTTTTTGTATTTTTAGTAGAGACGGGGTTTCACCATGTTGACCAGGATGGTCTCGATCTCTTGACCTCGTGATCCACCCGCCTCGGCCTCCCAAAGTGCTGGGATTACAGGCTTGAGCCACTGCGCCCGGCCGAGATATTTGTTATAATAATACATTTACAGGGAAAAATCAATACAATGTAGACATCACTACTGAAAACCATCTACCATCATACAAAAAGGGATTTTGGCCAGGTGTGTGGCCATGCCTATAATACTAGCAGTTTCAGAGGCCAAGGTGGGCAGATCATTTAAGGCCAGGAGTTTGAGACAAGCCTGGCCAACATGGGGAAACCCCATCTGTACTAAAAATGCAAAAATTTGCTGGGCATGCTGACATGCATCTCTAGGCCCAGCTACTTGGGAGGCTTGAGACATAAGAATTGCCTGAACCAAGGAGGTGAAGGTTGCAGTGAGCCGAGATTGCACCACTGCACTCTAGCCTGGGCAACAAGGTGAGGGTCTGTCTCAACAAAAAAAAGAGAATTTTATTTTGGAAATTGTTTTTTAATTTATGGCAAGTATTACTTTCAAAAATAAAACCACAGAACAACACAATCTAGTTCAGTCTTAAAGACTGACGTGCTGAGCAAGGAATGCTTTTTTTTTTTTTTTTTTAAAGAGACGAGGTTTTTCCATGTTGGCCAGGCTGTCTACGAACCCCCAACCTCACGTGATCTGCCCACCTCGGCCTCCCAATGTGCTGGGATTACAGGTGTGAACCACCGTGCCCGGCCAGGAATGCTTTTATTTTTTGTAGGAGCTCCTTCTTTAGACTGTCAGGTACTAGGGCTCTGCCTTTTGAAGTGATTTCAGCTACCAAGTCATCAACAGTAATGTGGTCTAGTCCTTTTTCTTTAATTACCTCTTAATGCAAAGCAAAAAGCAAATCATATCACTTAAAATCATTATCTTTACATTATCTTTATCAGCTTATCCTTTCAGCCACATTCAATTAATTTAGCTCTCAGCAGCTCTTTCAGGCATTTTCTTTCTCCAATTTCTGTCAACTTTTGGTTAATCCCTGCTCTCATGTTCATCTTGCTAACCACACTGCCTGGACTTACTCTGGTTTTGAGAGAATAGTAAGTGGTGCATCTGCTAGCCGAATACCAGTTCACCTGAATGCCATTAGTGACCTAGCTGGACCTCTCCTGCCTTACAACAGAAGCTCATTAAAATTGCTGACTCAAGAGCGATTTATCCCAGTCAGTGAGAAAAACCCACTCAGGGGTTCTATCTGCAGAATCCAGAGCTAAACTGACTGCTTCAGCCAAAGAGCAACCACTAAGGCCGCGCGCAATAGCTTACACCTGTAATCCCAGCACTTTGGGAGGCCAAGACAGGCAGATCACGAGGTCGAGATCAAAATCATCCTGGCCAACACAGTGAAACCCCATCTCTACTAAAAATACAAAAATTAGCTGGGTGTGGTGGCAGGCACCTGTAGTCCCAGCTACTCAGGAGGGAGGCAGAAAAATCGCCTGAACCCAAGAGGCGGAGGTTGCAGTGAGCCGAGATCGCACCACTGCACTCCAGCCTAGCGACAGAGCAAGACTCCATCTCAAAAAGAAAAAAAGCAAAAGAAAAACCATTGAATTCATGGGGGTAAGGGAGAATGAGGTGGATTATAGTTTACAGAAACACTAGGTCTGGTGGCACATGTTCTCAGGATCTCTTAAGGCTGTGCCTGAAGGAAAGAAGAAAAAAATAAAGCCCTAAGTCTAGCAGTGCCCAGCCAGGCTGCACAGAGGTCTAACTTTTTCTTTGATTCTGAGCCTATTTTAGGGCTTTTGTCTGGTCAGGAACTTGATTGTCTGACACATCTCTAAAACATCATGTCTTGAGTTGAGTAGGATTTCTGAGCAGAAGTCCTAGATAGGATGAGTAAGTTTGGTACTGACCCAGCATCCTTGAACAAGTCAGTGATGGAACAGGTTGTTAGACTTCATTATAAGGTTTCATGTCTTGAGAAAAGATTGTAAAACTACTGTCTTCCTGGGTTGAAACCTGAAAAGCAAGACTTCTCACTGGTGGTCTGTGCTGTTTGCTTACTGTGTTTCTTCATAGGTCACTAAAATAAAAAGATCTGGGGTTTAGCTTGGCTGAGGTTCCGATTCCATGATCTTGGCCAAGGCATCTTCCTTCCCAGGGCTGCCATTTCCTCATCTGTAAATGAAGGGGTTAGATTAGTTAGGCAGAGGTAAACTGTGGCTTAAGCAGCCAAATCTGGCTCACCATTTGTTTGTTTACAATTGACTTTATTTATTTTAGAGCAGATTTCAGTTCATAGCAGAATTTTTTTTTTTTTTTTGAGACGGAGTTTCGCTCTTGTTACCCAGGCTGGAGTGCAATGGCGCAATCTCGGCTCACCACAACCTCCGCCTCCTGATCTCAGGCAATTCTCCTGCCTCAGCCTCCCGAGTAGCTGGGACTACAGGCACGCGCCACCATGCCCAGCTAATGTTTTTTGTATTTTTAGTAGAGACGGGGTTTCACCATGTTGACCAGGATGGTCTTGATCTCTTGACCTCGTGATCCACCCGCCTCGGCCTCCCAAAGTGCTGGGATTACAGGCTTGAGCCACCGCGCCCGGCCTTCATAGCAGAATTTAATAGAAAGTTCCTATATATCTGCCTGGGCCTGGTAGCTCAACCCTCTAATCCCAGCACTTTGGGAGCCTGAGGCAGGTGGATCACCTGAGGTCGGGAATTTGAGACCAGCCTGGCCAAAAAAAACACTGTCTCTACTAAAAATAGAAAAATTAGGTGGGTGTGGTGGTGCACACCTAGAATCCCAGCTACTTGGGAGGCTGAGGCAGGAGAATCACTTGAGCCTGGGAGGCGGAGGTTACAGTGAGTCAAGATCACACCACTGCACTCCAGCCTGGGCGACAGAACAATACTCCATCTCAAAAAAAGAAAGAAGGAAAGTTCCTGTACGTCCCTTGACCTCCACCCCCACAACATGCTGCCACCACTATCAACATCCCCAGACAGAACTGTCCATTTTTCATAAGGTACAATCCATAAGCCTACATTGACACATCATTATCATCCAAAATCCATGATTTACATTTTAGGGTTCATTCTTGGTGTTATATATTCTATAAGTTTGGACACATGTATAGTGACACATATCTAACATTATAATGTCATACAGAATAGTTTCACTGCCCTAAAACTCAGTCTGCTTTTGTAACGTTTTATTGGAATACAGCCAAGCGTATTGATTTATGTATCATCCATGGTTGTTTTTGCACTACAGTAGCAGAGTTGAATAGTTGCAACAGAAACCATATGTCCCACAAAATGTAAAATATTTTTAGAGGGCCTTTTACAGAAAGTTTCCCTATCTCTAGTCTAGATGATTTCCAGCAAACTTCTAGAATCTGCAGTTTTCTTTTAGGCACTTGTATATGGTTTCATGTCTGGATACTTAGTTGTTTGTTCTTCTTCATCTGACTCCTTTTCTCATTCTCTTGGGTTCCCCCTTGTGTGCTGACATAGCTGCCACTGTCCCAGAGCAGAGGACTGTGACCCTGGATGTTGATGTGAACAACCGCACAGACCGGCTGGAGTGGTGCAGCTGTTATTACCATGGCAACTTTTCTCTGAACGCAGCCTTTGAGATCAAGCTGCACTGGATGGCGGTGACCGCAGCAGTACTCTTCGAGATGGTGAGAACCTTCATGTATGTTGTGGGCCTTTGACTCACCTCACAGTGGGGCATGGAGATGCTTGGTGAGTGATTCATGTCACTTTAATTTTTTAGTTCAGGCTCTCATTACCGTTCATCGGGACTATTGGAGTAGACTTTTCAAAAAAATTTAAACATAGTAAAAATTTCAAGCAATCAAAAAGGGTAAAGTCAGGGTTTCTTAGTGTTGGCACTGTTGACATCTGAGGCCAGATAATTCTCTGTGGGGGAGTCCTGCACCTTATAGGAAATTGAGCAGCATCCCTAGCCTCTACCCACTAAATGCCAGTAGCACAGCCCCAGGTGTGGTAATCAGAATGTCTCCAGTTATTGCCACATGTCCCCAGGAAGGGGGAGTATTGCTCCCTGTTGAGAATCACTGGTTTAGAGTAAAAAGTAAGCCTCTTTCCCATTCTCATTCTCTGGGACTTTCCTCTAAAAGCAACCACCACTACCACTTTGTTGAGTAAACATCCAGAGAGATTCTAAGCATCTACAACAACATCACGTTACTTTTTTTTCTGAACAGAGATGGTAGCATCAGATACATGCTACTTACATTGCATTTTTTCTATTACCTATGTCTTCCGTGTCAGTACAAATAAATCTGCTTTGGATTTTTAAAAAGTTATTGTTACTGAGATTTTTGTTTTTGTTTTGCCTCATTTTTTTAAGGGCTGCAGAGTATTTTATTATTTGTTTACATCATAGTTAACCAATCCTCTGTTAATGAACATCACTGCTTTGAACTTTGAACTCGGGTGGTTTTGCCACCTGGGATCATTTGGCAATATCTGAAGACAGAAAGGAGTGGCTGGGCGTGGTGGCTTACGCCTGTAATCCCAGCACCTCAGGAGGCCAAAGTGGCCAGATCACTTGAGATCAGGAGTTTCGAGACCAGCCTGGCCAACGTGGTGAAACCCTGTCTCTACCAAAAATATAAAAATCAGCCAGGTGTGGTGGCTCATGCCTGTAGTCCAAGCTGCTCGGGAGGCTGAGGCACAAGAATTGCTTGAACCTAGGAGATGGAGGTTGTAGTGAGCCGAAATCGTGCCATTGCATTCCAGCCTGGGTAACAGAGCGAGACTTCGTCTTAAAAAAACAGGGGGGAGGACAGTGAGGGCAAGGTGGATGTTACTGGTGTCTAGCGGGTAGAGACCAGCGATGATGCTCATCATCCTATAAGGCACAGGGCAGCACCCACAACAAAGAATTAACCAGCCCAAAATGTTACAAGTGCCAAAGTTGAGAAGCCCTGCTTTAACTGGTCTTCCTGCCTGTTCTTTCTCCTAGTTCAGCCTGGCCTGCATCTCTAATCAGGCCATTCTTTGCTCCTACACTAAGAAGCTGTCCCTGGTCATCAGTCATGCCAGTGCCCATTCCTTAGCTAAGTTGTCAGTATCTTCCAGATCTTCTTAACCATCTTGATAGTCTGCGACTCCTTTTTATACACTCTCCAGTATAGCCAAAAATAATATTCTTCTGTGGCTTCTGTTGAATCCAGCTTCCCTCAACACCAGCCCAGCAATCTCATAACACAGTAGAGAGCAGCTGGGAAGTTCAAAAAGAGTTTACTAAAAGTTAGGAGATAAACAAAGAGAAATGAATACACCATGGGCTGGCAGGTTTTTTTTTTGTTTGTTTGTGTGTTTGTTTTTGTCCAGAGCTCATAGGCTAAGTTTTGTCCCACAAAACAGGATATCCAGGGGAAGCGATTTGTCTGGGTCTCTCTCAGGCTCCACATGGCATTAGCATCTTCAAGGACCCCTCCCTTGGAAAGACTCTCATCTAGGTAGCATCCTTAAGGTCCCAGTAAAAATAGACAGCCCACTGCTCCTTCTGCTCAGCTCACAGAGGACACCAGCCCTTCCCCAGTTCACTGATACCAGCATGACCACTCCTTTCAGGTAAAACTAACTGTCTGACCCAGCAGGCATAAGCTCTCTCCTTGCTTGCCCTACCAGATAAGCATATCCTAAAACAGTATGACCACAGCATTCATAGACACACACACACACACACACACACACACACACACACACACACACAGAGCTACAGTTGGGCAGGAAAAAGAGTGTTCATCTCCTTAGAGGAATTTAGCAACTATATCCATAAAGTACGCTTTTCACATCTATCCATGTAAAACCCACTGAAAGCCGCTAATATCTTTATCATTGTTTTATTAAGCTTTTAAAACTTTAATGTATGTAAGTTAATTATTATTTTAAGGCAATGTCCACATTTGTTAAAAATCAGATTTTATTGGGACAAATACTACATAAAATAAAAAGGGTTTCAGCCAAGTCTTAGGAACTATTTTGGTCAAACTGAGATCCTGGCTTTTTGTTATTTTTGTTATGAATGTTCCTGAGAGAAAAGATAAGAGTGCTACCCTTTAATTTTTTACTTAATCATTTGTTTAAGTCAAGGTATGTCCCCAGCTGTATTTTTTTGGAAAGAATACTTGACACAAAAATCAGTATGCCAGAGCCACGTTGGTCAGCTTTAAAAAAAAAAAAAAAAAACAGTTTTATGGTTAAAAAGAATATCTCGAGAACTAGAAAATTGCTACTGTTCTCTAAGAAAATGTTATTGATGGTAGGTTTGTCTTTATGCCCCAGTAACTGTTGTTCTCATCTTTTGTTCTCATCTCCCAGATAGAATTTGGGAGTCTGCCAGAGAGTGGCTCTCACTCTGTCAGGTTAGGGCTTACCATAATTAGAAGCCACCACAGTCATTTCCCACTCTACGTTACATTCCTCTCAGCTAGCCTGAGTGAGTTGTTTTCCTTTGTGATACTCTGAACTTATTAAATTCCTGGTAAAGTACAAAATTGGGCAGGGCGCAGTGGCTCATGCCTGTACCCTTAGCACTTTGGAAGGCCGAGGTGGGCAGATCACCTGAGGTCAGGAGTTCAAACCAGCCTGGCCAACTGGTGAAATCCCCTCTCTACTAAAAATACAAAACTAACTGGGCTTAGTGGCGCTCGCCTGTAGTCCCAGCTACTCAGGAGTCTCAGGCGGGAGAATTGCTTGAATCCGGGAGGCAGAGGTTGCAGTGAGCTGAGATCTGGCCACTGACTCCAGCCTGGGTGACAGAGCAATACTCTGTCTCAAAAAAAAAAAAAAAAAAGACAAAATTAGAAGGACTTAACTTCTATCCTGTGACCTTTCTCCAATATCCTCCAGAATAGGAAGGGTTTCAACTCTCTGCAGACTGTTCTTTCTTAAGGAAACACTGAAGATGCAAAAGTTTGGGCCTTGCCGGGCGTGGTGGCTCACACCTGTAATCTAAGCACTTTGGAGGCCAAGGCAGGCAGATCACCTGAGGTCGGGAGTTCAAGACCAGCCTGACCAACATAGTGAAACACTGTCATTAAAAAAAAAAAAAGTTTGGGCCGTAAAGAGGGGCTGTGTGCTCAGCTCACAGTTTTTCCAGTATTTGTCAGGATGTTAAACTGCATTTTTTATACTGACACATGGTTATTTAAAAAAAAAAAAAAAAAAAAGTAAACTGCATTTTCGCCTGTCCAGGACCAATTTGCAGTCAACAAACATGAATAAATTAACCTGCCAATCAGTATGCATGCCACTGTTCTGGTGGGTTTGCTCCTTGCGGGGAGGTATTTTCTCTTGTGTGAAAGAACTTGGAGATGATATTGTTTGTTTCTGTACTTTTTCACCAGGTCCAAGGTTGGCATCGGAAAGCCACCTCCTGTGGCTTTTTGTTGGTCCCAGTTTTGGAAGGGCCTTTTGCACTGCCCAGTTACCTGTATGGCGACCCCCTTCGTGCCCAGCTCTTCATCCCACTCAACATCAGCTGCTTGCTAAAGGAGGGCAGCGAGCACCTGTTTGATAGTAAGAGATACTCCCTTCTGGAGGTTCTGTCTCAACTAGTAAGACCCTTTCCCGTCGTGGACACCACACTGGGTGTCCAGTCAACATGGGCTATGGAAAAGAGAGCTTTTCAACAAGGGGCCAAAAGGATCAAGGTTCTAAAGGATCCTGGTTCTTCACTGGACAAATCACTTCATGTCCCTGAGTCTCAAATTCCTTATTCCTAAAATGAGAGTGTCTAGAGCTGCCTGGAGCAGAGTGGTGGGTGGGAGAGGGCGCTAAACTATAAATCACAAGCAGCACTGGTGTTCTCCCACGCTCTCCTTTCATATGCTCCAGTCTAACTGGTTTGGGCTGCAGGGGGATTTAAACCTCATAAGAGACTTGCATATGCTATTTCGTGCAAAAAGGCCAGGAAAGGGAGGGCATGAAAAGCAAAACAGGAAACAGCATCCTTTTGTGCAAAGCTGTGGCGTGTCAGCCTCTGGAACAGTGCATGTGACTGGAGTTGTGCATTTCAAGGAAGACAAAGCAGGATCAGAGGATGTTAACAGGACCCAAATCAGAGCCCTTCCCTCTGAGACAGGTTGTCAATCAGAAAGAGAGTACCCAGGGTCAGCATGGACCTGCTGCTCCACCTCAGACGCCCAGAACTCTGAGGGCAGGTTTAGGACAGATCAAAGACGAGCTGTACTTGACACAGCATATAGTTTTTTATCACCAAGTGCTCACTGCGGATGTACATATAAATAGCTCCTAAAAAGCTTTCGATGAGTTCACAGATAATCTTTTTTAAAACACAAAGCTAGAGTTGATGCTGTTACGTCAGGAGCCCTGAGGTTTCTCAGGTATAAAGATTAGAAATGTGAAGGAAATGTCTTTTGACGTAACGGAGATGCTTTCTTCTTGTGCCCTTGTAAGTCTGTGTCGTGATGAGAGGCAGAGAACTGGCCCAAAAGATAAGGAGGTCTCCCCAGGTGGATTAGACCAAGCTAAGTATTCCTGCAGTTTCCATGTGACAAGCTGCTCTCCTGGTGCAAACAGCTTTTCTTCCAAAGGCCCATCTGTGTATTTTTTGTTTACAGTTTGGAAGATTTTTTTTTTTTTTTTTCAATGTGAAGTGAAGGATTTTCGCTCTTGTTACCCAGGCTGGAGTGCAATGGCGCCATCTCGGCTCACCGCAACCTCCGCCTCCTGGGTTCAGGCAATTCTCCTCCCCCAGCCTCCTGAGTCGCTGGGATTACAGGCACGCGCCACCATGCCCAGCTAATTTTTTGTATTTTTAGTAGAGACGGGGTTTCACCATGTTGACCAGCATGGTCTCGATCTCTTGACCTCGTGATCCACCCGCCTCGGCCTCCCACAGTGCTGGGATTACAGGCTTGAGCCACCGCGCCCGGCCTGGAAGATTTTTTTTTTTTTTTTTTTTTTTTT